GGGATTCCTGCTATATGCACAACATGATTAAAATCCAGACAAAAGACTTCAAAAGCAAGAGGGCATTTTCCTCATAGAAGTCATATGCTTTAAGCTAATTTGATGATGCTTTGGGGACCTTTGGGGTGTTTGGAATTGCCAGGATTTATGTATTGAGTGAGAAACCCAGGTTCACACCTTGCGTTTTGAGAAAGTGGAACGTGCATCACAGGGGCTTGTAACAGATTGGGCCAACTCTTGGACTAAATAGTACAGACCACGGGGACTCTTGACAAGCAAAAACTTAATAGTTAAGATCCATGGTGTCAAATCAAAATGAAGTTTGGTAGTAGATAATGAAGACTGTACTGATCCAGGAGTTAGATTTTGCTTTCTGTGCTAGGCCACGGGTAGGTTATACAGCTCTGCTCCTCACCGGAGAGACGCAGTTTTCTCTGGCTGTTTCTTCAGTTTCAATCTTGAAAAGAATGTATTTTTTAAAACCACCAGCATTCCTTAAAAATACTTATTTCAAATGAAAAATCAGTACTCCCACGTGTAACATGGAATGATCCTTAATGTTTTTTACTGGAACTTACTGACATACAGAGCAGGACAGTCCATTTTAAAACGTAGAGCAATATTCTGCATGTCCAATCAAGGAACCGTATTTCAGGTTGAGAATAATATCCATTTCTGTACTTGGAGAACTTCTACGAATGTTTTGTGATGTAGTAGGAGTTCATAGGTAGAATTGCTAGGACAGATGCATCACGACATTGGAACTGCTGAAAAATTTGCATCGTGAAATTGTGGGAAGCTTTTCCTTCATGTGGGATGGGAGAGGGCAGAAGACTAGACCCGAAGTCCTATCTTTGTTCATTTTCTGTCAGTTAGATTATAGTACCTGATTCATCCTTCACTGACAAGCCTCCTCACTTGCTTTAGGAGCCCTTTTCTGTTTATCAGATTGGAAAGAGTCCTGTCTTGGACTGTAATCTGTTAGGACAGTTCTGAAAGCTAAAGGTTATCTTAGATGGTTGAGCTCATGATACTGCTTAGAGTGACACTAAGACAAATCATGCAACTGCAAGCTCACATAAAGCTCCCCTGAATAAGTGTTTCGGTCTGATTCATTTTACTAATATTAATTTTATTCACTTGTGTGTGCCTAGGATAAAACTTTATTTCATTGCTTGGTCAACGTTATTATATTCAGAGTCCCCTCCCGTATGCTGCTCTGATAATAAATTTAACTTATTGGACCCATTGATGTTTTCTGTTAAGTATTTTTGATGAGCAAGTTGAGCCACACTGATAAATGCAATTCAGAAACAATGTGTGTTTTTAATTGTGTGGTTTTTGTTAACCAGACACAAAATTTAATTATCCCTTAGTGTTACTTTATTGGTACATAAGCCTGTGCAACTGTTATGCTGAGCATAGTAAGAGACAACTAGAAAGTATGAAACCAAACGAGAGGCGGGAAGTGGGGCAGCGTTGTTCACTTTGGAAATTTTTCTTTCAGCCCAGCATCCCAAACTCTAGACTGGGCGGGGGGAATCAATATTTGTATGACTATTATTGTCAGGCTGAAAAGGCCAAACCTTTCACTCTTCTTCAGGATAATGCGCTGTAAGGATTCTTCACAAGTGCAGATCCATGAGTAGTTCTTTTACAGGTATTTAATGCTGTATTGCTGAATTCAGCTGTCCTGGAGAGAGCTGCAGATGGCAGTCACCACTTTTACATTTTTGAGGGTTTCTTTTTCATTTTGAGTGAGATAGTAAGTTGAGTAAGAGAGTAGAAGAATGAATTTTCAATTTGATAAGCCTTAAAGCAAGTATATTGCGTGCCTAACAGTCATGTTTCTCTGTAGGTCTTTATAATAGAGTTTTTTTCCCAGACACCTCTTTGGAAAAATACTAAGGATCTTAAAATCAGATTTTGAGAGGCCAGTATTATGAGCAGGTAGGGTAGTAAGACTTTGTAAGCTTCGTTTCTGCAGGCCCTTCTTTGCCGAGTTTTAGTGACAAAAAGGAGTGAGCTTACCCTAGGATTTTAAGAGCACGTATTTCTAATAGAACTTGGCAGTTCAAGGGCTAAAGAAGCATTTTAATCTTTTGTGCCCACCCAGTCTCTATACAAATGTAAATATGTCTGTCTTTAACAATTTGCCAGGAAATGTGGTTTTAATTTGTTAGCAGCAATCCCACTCCCTGCAGCTCTTTCAGAGTCAAGTCACAAGTCTGGCGGTGCTTTGACGTTTTTCTCTGTCATGGTGTCATTGTTTATATGATGTCTGTTTCTGCTGTCCTCCTTTTTATGCCTGGAATATTTTTCTTTAATTATTTCACTGCCTAAAAGGAATTTGGGATTACTAGACAGGATGAGAACAGATTAGCTTTTTTTCTTTCTTTAACAAGTCGTGAAGTTCCCATAGGAAATAAATAGTATTCCCAAAACACACAGTGTTTTTTATTTTTTTTAATTAACTAAAATTATTAAGTCTAATAAAGAAAATAAAGGAAGTAGCACCAATAATGGCTGAGTGTCTTAGGAGTATATGGAGTGCCCATTGTTGTTATTTATGACTCTCTTTGCCTTCTATTGTGGACTTATTCCAGCCTTAGGGAGTTTACATCACTCCTAATAGCAAAAGGCTCTCTGGTTCCCACAGAGTTTTTCAAAGACTGACTCATATGCCTTATGTTAATTGTTCAGCTCTCAAAATACAGCACTTAGAGGGTGTGGTTCCAAGGGGAAAATCTACTGTACTTAGAGGGCATGTTCAGAAGTGTTTCTCATATAAATCATTTTGATTTTTAATTTTTTTAACGCCTTAACCCTTTTCTGTCGCTACTTTATGTGATAAGTTATTTGAAAACAAAATAAAAGGCTGATGATGGCGTAGTGAGGCAATGTGTTAGCCCTTCAGCTCTGGACCATTAACCTCCAGTCTGACTCAACTCACAAGTGAGATGGCTTCGTCATCTTTGCCTCTCTCCAGGGTCTGCTCTTCACACCCTGGCATGACGGTACACTCCAGGCAACGATCACGCACTGTGCATAATGGGATGCAAGTTAGAACTGAGGTTTATTGCTTATCTGCAGTAGTGAGTACATGTGGACAGGAACCGTTCCCAGTCCTCCTCTGGATTTTGTACAAAGTGCTACTTTCCACCCATTGTTTACCACATTTACAAGAACTGCCTTTAGCAGACTGGTGATCCTGTCTCAGTGTGCCATGTTGATGTCCTCAGCTGAGGACTGAAGAAGATTTAATAGAATTAGCCTTACCATAAAGCAGAATAAGGAAAGTTCAAATGCTTCTGCTTGTGCTTCTGTTCTCTGGCTAAGTAAGAGTGCTCTCCAGCTCCTTTGATGCAGAATGATTGTGCAAGGTCCTTCAGTCTGAGCTGTGTGAACGTTACTGGAAATCAGAATAGTTTCTACAGACTTTACAGTTAAGAGTCTGTGTCTCCTCTTAAAATGAGCAGAGCTCTTCAGTATCGTAATAAAATTCCCTTTTTTAATAGCTTACAGAATATGAAAAGGTATTTAGTCAAATTAGGGGAGTCCATACCTCTAACAGAATAGAAGCAGCAATTAATCCCTCAGATTAAACTAGTTAGGCTTGATTTCTGAGGTTGAAATCGCATTGCATGTATGTCCCATATGTTTTCTGCCTGCTGTGAACACACACTAATGTGTGGCACCATTAGTGGGCAGAACTTCATGCATCTATCAATCCACACAAACACGTTTGCGTGGTTTGCCTCTGAAAGGAAGGCTCAAAACAGCTGTAGTTTTTTAAACTCGAAATGGCTTTATTTCTTTGCCTGACTGCCCTCTTTCTGCTTACAAAACAGGAAGTTGTTTTCACTGGCTTATTCTTCTGGAAAGAGCAGTGAGGTTTACCCTCTCCTTTAAAATAGAAATAAAAATACAAATGGGCAGGGCTTAATCCCCTGTAAGTGACAGGTTCCTGCGGGGCGTTCCAGGCAGCAGTCATGTACACGCTTCGGCCTTGCAGTCTTTCTCTACTTTCTTCGGTTCTTCCGTCCCGCCCGGCTCCAGTGTGCTAGCTTCACAGTGCGGAGCAAGAAACGGTGTAAATAAGCGCTCCCTACATTTGACGAGCCCCAATCAGAAGTTGCATCATGCAGGCTGATGAAGAAAAGTGCTATCAAAGAAAAGGAGATGCACAAAGGCCTCTTCTCTTCTTGACTTTGCCACATTTTTTTCTCTCCTCTCCATAGCCTCAGAGATAATACTTTTTTGAAGTATGTGGTAAATAGTGAAGTCAGCAAATGGCCCCTGTCTCATTGAGATTGTTTCATTGTGAAAGGAAATGCTCACAGCTTGAAGAAAAAGAGCATTTTCCTTCCCTCCCTCTCGCCCCAATCTCGTATTATATAAAACCATGGTGCTGCTGTTAGCTGAGACCAGAAAGAATTCCCCTGTTGTCCTGTAGTAGCCAACCACTACAAGCTGTGAGCGTTTGAATGTTAGTATTAAAAGTTTTAACCCTTGCCTTCTTAAATGAGCAAATAACACTCTGTATATTTTTTTGTAAGTATGGAAAATTATGGGGATTCTTCTGAGAATAAGTGTATAGACCACTGCGCCAGTCAGTCTCTTCAGAAAAAAAACAGACAAACATGCTCCTGTCTGCAAGAGAGATTCCTGGCATTTGTCACAGTTTGAGCCACAAAGATGTCAAATATTTGCCAACAGTTTCCTCAGACAGTTTGGAAAGCTACATCCTTTACATTACAGTCTTGTTTGTTTGCGGTATATTTTAGCGTATGAAATATGTTTGTTGGGAGTCTGAAAGGGGAGGGCACTGGCTAGACTCCCAAATATTAAAAGATTAAAAATAATTCTGTTTCTCTTAGACTGCTCAGATCAAAATAATAAAGAACATCTGTAAGTCTTAGTATTAGAAATGGAGTTTTGCGTTGAAGAATCATAGCTTGATATGTCACGTTTTAAACCTGTGTTTTCTTTTGGAGCAGAAGGAAGAACTTTCCAGTGGGACGTCTGAATATTTTACTGAATCTGCGGAGAACAAGAAGCTTAAGATAAGTCTGAACGAACAGATAAAGCAAGACATCTTGAAAGAAATGTACGTCACTATTCTTTCGAAGGTGTTAAATTTATAATCTGGTAAAATTTGGGTAAATAGAATCTAGCCGATGTAATAAAATTTCAAATAATATAAACTCCTTTACAAAAGATTGTTTTAAATTACTAAGCGACTACTAGTCTAGTGTGGATAAGCACATAAAATGATCGTTGTTGTTTTGTACGGCATGAAAAAAGCTATTACAGCCCACATAGATATCTCACATAGCGCTAGGCAGAATCAAAACAGGGTGTTTTTCCCTTGAATGAAGCTCTGAGCCAAAATAAATATGTGATGTTTGAATCTGGTGAAAAACACTTTGCAAATCTATTTTTTTGTTCATTTTGAGAGTCTGCAGCGTACCACGATGTTAGTTCTGGATCTTTGGTCACAATTAAAGAGTGTCCCTGGTGTAGCGGATGGGGAGGGTTGGTTGGTCAGCTGAACGTTTTACTGCTCCTCTGCTGTAACCCGGATGCCATTCTTACTTGCGCAAGCTGCCAGTAGCCCCAAATCAACTGTGGAATCGGGGATTTGCTGTGAACACCGGCAACTTTTCTTTTTACCCTTGTTATCTCATCTGTGTTGTCTTTAGAAATGAGATTAGATTTGGAGGTGTGCCAGCTCTACCTATTTTGGAAGAGTCCTCTTTCCGAAGAGTTAGATATGCCGACCTGGGAACTGCTCGGCATCAGCAGAGCAGGAGAAAGCGGTCCCAGCATGGGGCGGTCTATAGTAATATCTTTAGACTCAAAATCTTACACAGGCAGCTTCAGTACTTGTGCACAAAGTTCATCTTACGGCCTATGTGAAATCTAGATTTGTAGGTAACACGCTGCCGAGGAGTGTTTATGTACTGACACTCCGTCAGGTCCCTTGTGATCCCATTTTCCTGTGTAATTCCTTTTAGAATATCATCTACTTGCATTACCTAAGTCCTTCCCAGATGAACGGGCTTGATACTAGACGAGCAGTGGTTAACTTTAAAGTCATGCTTTGAAATGTCCTGGGAAAAATTCCAGAGGAACATTCTAAAATAGAGATTAGAAGCTCTCACAGAGAGACGCGCACACTGCCGCTCCCTGCCTGCCCCCTCTATTCTTTAGATATACGTTATGCATGTGAATATATGGGAATGGTTTGAAATAATTTAGGCACTTATGAAATACTATTTTATCTAGCCAGTTTGGGAAGGAATTCAATATACTTATGCCGCGTTGACCTTTAACATCTGTAATGAATCCAGTTCTGCCTCTTGGAATAGAATGTGAACTCCTTCATGGCTTAGTCATTAATAAATAGGGTTCCCCTAGTGCAGTGGAAAATCAGATGCATAACACTTGATATTATCCACACTAGACAAACATTGCTGCTTGTCAAGATGATATACAGGGTTTTTTTCCACATTCAGTCTGGGTTGCCCTAGTGGTGTTTCAGAGTTTGTAAGAAGGGCAGATTGAGGCAGTGAAGGTTCTTTTTTAATTTAAAAACAAAATTCCTTTTTATTGCAGTGTGAAAAGGACAAAACCAAGGAAGAGTAGCACAAGCAAACCTCAGATCAGCAAGGACTCCGAGAAGGTGTATCTTGGCTCAGTGGACTCACAGACAGGGAACAGAAAGAACGACCGTCAAACTTCTCTCAGTCCTCAATCTGAAGTGAAATGTCGGAGTGCAGGACTGCTGAAAGACTGCATAACTACAGCCGAGAGCAGCTTGGAGCTTCCTGTTTTAGAGCTGGAAAATTATGTTAATCAGAGACAGCCAGATGATGTTAGCAGCCAGCAAAAACCTCACTCCGTGGAGTGGTTGAAGGCGAGTCTTCTAAGCGAGAACCTTCCTTGTAGCTCTGAGTCAGCACTGCTAGGTCCAGAACAAAGTCAAAAAGCGACCAAAACACAGGCTCAACAGAAGAGCTGTGGTTCAGAAGAAAAGTTAGAGCATTTAAAAAAAGTATCCTCTGAAGGGGCTCCTTTAATTCCTAGCAATACAGAAATGAGTAAGTGTGATGATGATTGTTTAGGTCCGTTCCCGGAGGAGAAGACCCCACTTAATTCCCGGTTGTTTTCTAAACAAGACTTGACAAAGACTGCGTCTGGTGAGGAGTCGCTAACTTTGGGAAAAAACCTCTCCCGGCCTCTTTCCGCGAGGAACAATATAGTGCAGACAAACAAAAATGAGCCAAGCACAACCGCTGAAGAATTGCCTGTGATGCCGTCATCTTGTTTAGAACTGCAGCCTGTGTCTTCAGAGAAGCTTACCCAAAAAAGAAAGAAAGAGGTTGCAAATGGTCTCGGGAAGTTAAAACTGCGAAGGCTTAAGAAGTCAAAGTCTGAAATATTACCTTGATGGCAGGGGTGGACGGCCAAATTTGTGTTCGGAATGCATATGCAAAAAGTAGGAAGCGATTCAAAAGAATGAAAAATAATAAAAATACAAAGTCAAAATTAGATAAAACTTTTAAAGAAAACTTAGTTAATGAAGTATTTTAGTCCTTTGGAACTGTAATGAAGATAATTCTGTTAAGTCTTCAGGAATTAAACATAAATATTTTACAAACCAGCGTAGTATTTATAGAAAGAAAAATCTCTTGTAAAATAATATTTACTAAGCAAAATTTTAGATCTGTGTATGTTTTGGGACTGTTAAAAAGTCATATCAGCTGCTGGCGGCAACAGTTAAACCCACTTTTGTGATCTGTTAGCCGCCGCAGTTATTCAGTGTTGTGCTTGTTTCTGAACACATAGTTTATTTTAGTAAAAATTAATCCTTTCTCTGTGTTAGGAAGTTCATGGTTTATTCACATGATCTTTACAACAGTAAGGCGAATTGAGGTTATTTCAGATAAAGCTTTAACCAGGATTTAATGTAGCTGATAATAAATTAAGGCCCACCTTGTCAGTGGGGTTTCAAAATAGCCATAGTTTGTGCTTGTGCAGTTTTGATATGAACGCGTATTTCTAACCTGAATTGTGGATACAATCAATCATGCATTCAGTCTTTGGAAAAATGAAGATTGGTTTTATGTATGCGGTCACCTGGATGTGCAAACGTGGCTATTGGGAAATGTTCATACAGAAACATGCATACGCATCTTCGTGCATTCACGTTTCAAAATCAGGCCTTGTTTGTGTGCAAGGACTGTTTTTCTTGTGTTAGCGATACCCAAGTTATTTCTTCATTTAAGGTAGAGGTAATTTTTAATTGCATGGTGCTTTTTAATACTGCTTTTGTAACTTGTATGCTAATGCGCTAAGGAAATGTAACTTTTTAGTTCATGCTTATCTTTTTAAAATGTTTAAAATAAAATTATAAGCAATTTTCTTTCATCGTTCTCTCAAAATCAGTGTGACCACGGATATTTTACACGAAGCAATTTTGAAAAATCTTACTGGCGTATACTTACGACTGTGGATATCCTCATTTAGGTTAATAAGATGACTCGCATCCATACGCATTAGAGTTGGTAGCGTAATGCAGGTCCTTATGAGAGTTAGCAACTCGGCAGTTGACAGCAAGACGCTGTCGATTGAACAGCATCTTTCTGCTATGAACAACTTTGGCTTTTGCGATAAATCAACGAGATTCTGCATGCCTGCTAGAAGACGTTTTCGGTTTTTTTCTTTCAGCCTGTTCGCGTGATGTTTCTGACAGTGCTTTGCAGTAAGGTTGCTAATGCTTCTCAATCTTCAGGCTCTGCGATAAGGTCTTTCCTAGTAACGAGCAAAACCGAGGCTGCAAGTGAACCTGGGTTTGGAGGAAGAATTAGCCTGAGGTATGTTTACTGTTGTCTTTTGTATGGGCTCGAGATACTGGGCCAGGAGGGGAGTAAAAAGTGCTTTTTTGGTGGACTTACAAGAGGTGTAAGGACGTTTAATTAAGTATTTGTCAGAAAAATAAGAGTAATTAAGATAGAATCATTTAATAGTTTGCAGTAAAGTTTTAGCATATATTTTCTGGATGGCTTCTTTAAGTGCTTACAGTGAATAAACTGATAAAAAGTGGTACAAGCACACATTCTAGACGGCAGTTTTAACTTTCCATTATTTCTACTTTGCTCTTCCTTGGACCTTTGTGAATTTCCCATGTTGTTCCTGGTTGTAACGGATACCTACAGGAGAGGTTTAGATGATTATGCAGTAACAGACACATGTTGAGTTTACAAAATCACTTCAGTTACTTCTTTTCATTTCATTCCGGTTAGGAAGAAGACCTTACGCTTGCTGTTGCAAACTGGCCAACGCACTGATTGCATCTCTGAAAATTGTGGATGGTCTTGAGCGAGTACGCCCCAAACTATTACTGCTGACAGCTTTGGATCCTGAAGCTGCCCTTCTTCTTGCCTTTCTCCTCTCCAAATCCATTTAACTCAAGTATTAGAAACCAGAGGGCAACCACATACAGCCTGTATCATCGCGTGCTGTTGTTATCTATAGTTCAACCTTGTAATTACAACTTAGTTTCAATCTTAACTGAATAACATACCTGCATGCACCCTTACAAATGAATGCCATATGTTTATGGGGGGCTTGGGTAGAGTAAGTTATTTTCTACGTAGCTAAGAACACTTGATTTTTCCTTTAGGATGTTTTGTTACGTTACTTACAATGCTGTTTCCCATCACCTCACGGATAGCACGGGAACATCCTCCTTTTAAAACAGTGTTCTTGTAACAATAAGAAACGTAGGGCTGGATCGCTTAAAGGTGTTGGAGCCTAGAGAGTCAGAACAAATACGAGTGGACTTTCTTAAAAGTGCATAGTTGCATCATTCTCACTGTAATTACTGACTTGTGAGGCTCCTAGGCTCCTTGTAGCTGTGTATTTAGAGCTTAGTTACTTTAAAAAGTTGCCTCTTGGATCCTCTCAGAAATGCAGCTGTTCAGGGAAAAAGCTTTGCCTTCATGGTCATTTCTGGACTTTAGATGGTGTCGCTGCTCAAACTGTTCTTTTTTTTTGTCTGTGTAGCAGGACTGTTCTAAAAGTTGCCCGTTTGCAAACCTCATCGGTGCTTTACGTGAGGCTGTGACAGCCAGGCTGTATCGTTACCCTATGTCTCTGTTATCTCTCTACTTCAAGCTCAAGGCCGTCTTCTCCGCCTTTGCGTTTTTCTTTATCAACAACCCACCTGCGCCCAGGTGACTGGCAGAGGTGTGGTCTGACGTGCTCTTGAACCACAAACCTGATTTCCTAAATCAGGTTTAGGAAAAAAAACCCCACAAGCAGCTGGAAACTGAGCTAGGGCAAAGTGAGCAGATTGCAAGCCTTGGCTGTGGCTTTGGATTACCGGTTTGCTGCTGGGCAGCGTTAGCATACCTTTCTGTTAAAAGTAATAAACGTTTACGGCTCTGTTCTGTTCTGAAACTGCGGTGGAAGCACAGAAACCATTTCTTTTGGTTCATTTTTTTCTTTTGGGTTTGTTTGTTATGTTGGATTCTTTCATTTTTCAGAGCTTCTTTGAACTCCTCTGAAATACGTGCAGATCTGAGACTGGCTAAAGCCCACAACGCGGAGCTCACATTGAAAAATACATGTTTGTCTTAAAGAGAAATAACTGTCTCTTCCAAACCAGCCAGCTTTGGGGTTTGTTGGTGGGTTGTTTTTTAGTTTTTTTTCTTTTTTTTTGTGAATCATCTGGTTAATTCGGTCCGTGCTGTTTGCTGATAATGAAACAGTCCTTTCCTAGCCAAACACTTTCTAATGTGTGCAGGCTATCGTTTCCATTATTCTTTACATCAAAGCAGTTAGAAATATTTGTTTAGCGAACTTTTGTGTTTAAACACACATCAAAAGCTGGGCCAGCCTTTTACATATTTATTTATAAAGAGGAAGCAGGCTGATGTAAAATCTCCCTTGCCCAGTGTTGATCGGCAGGGAGGTTTTAACTATCGCAGGAGTTATTTTGAGTAATAAGCGTTGTGCTAGTTCTGATATTATCTGTCAGGTGGTAGTTCTGCATGCCAGGCTCTAGAGCGTGTGTTCGTGGGTTGTTACACTTGCATAGCCGCATCGCTGTGTTACGCTTGACTTGAGTAACTTCAAGAGCACCTGTTTATATCAAAACAGAAAAATTTTACGAACCAAAACTTCCCTTGCTACAGCAAGTTTTGAGCAAGTGAGGTGTTAAGCAGCCTTCTGACGGCGTTTATTTTGTCAGGGTGAACTTCCTTCCCTCTCGCCGCTCTGCACGTGGGTCGCATTGGCGGAGTTCTAAATGACCTTTTCATGTCACCATCTCATTGGCTTTTGACTGGAAAATGGATGCTCGTTAAGGAAAAAGATGGAGGAAGTATTTTTTTCGTTTGCGATTGGAATAAGAAAGATGTAAAACGTAGTTAGACTACCCCAGGTTGCATGTTACGAGTAGTTCTCTCCTTGCCTGTATCGGTATCTAATAAGAGGTTTCATACTGTATTAAAACACTCTAATGCAGGCTTGAGCAAACAGAGTTAATAGTATCACGAGTCTTTTAGCCAGCAGTGGGAAGTGTGGGTTAGGCACTCCTCACTGCTTTGCTTTCTGCTTTTTCCTTCTCCAATAAGCATTAACTGGCACCCAAAACCCTACGTGAACGAGAAGATGTGGGATGGGGCAATAGCAGCACGCCGAGCCTTTCATCAAAGGGATATCAAAGCCTTCTGCAGCTGAACCTGGGAGGGATATGAATATGCTTATTCTGACAGTTGGGGCAGCACTGAGGGTCGGCAGCTTCTTCAAGGCAAAGGAAGCTGGTTAAGGAACTCGTACTGCAAATTCTTCCATCAACTCATTCAAGTAGTTTTGAACACCGTTCTCCCATCTCGTTCACCTTTTTTTTTTTCCCCCCAGATAATTAAAATGGAACCTGGTAGCGCGTGACCTCGCCCTTTCCACAGCGGCAATAAGGTGACGTTGTGAGATGGATGGGGACTTTCTGTTTGGTTGCTTGGTTGGCGTCGGCTTACGCTGAGAAATCGTAAGAGAGTTGTGAAAATGATGTAGGGTCACGGGGCATTTCAGCTGTAGCCTGGAAGTGGTCCAGGGAATTGACCTCCACCGTCCTACCTCCTTTACTATCCATTTCAGTTATTGGTTCCCGTGAGAGCGGGCAATGCACCTTTTTTGAACGAGAGGCTCACTGACGCGCTCCCACTCTGTCACGGTTCGATCCTCTAGTCTAACTGAGACATCGTGCCTCGGTAGTAGGAACCGGTAATCTAGCTCCGTAAGTGCCTGATTTGCTGCCGGAATAATTGTCTGGTTTATGCATCAGATCTTTGAAGAAAAGTGTCTTGAGCCATAATTCTAGAGACGGGCCTGCCCCTTTTTAATATTAATATGATCTTATAGTGCTAGAATGAAAAGAATAGAGATTTCTTTCTCCACCCTCCAGAGAAACTGGTTGAAGCGATTTGCACATCACAGGGAAGGCGCTGACTGGAAGATCTGGGCTGGAACTCCCGTCTGACGCCCTGTCTGATACCACATCGCTCCACTGCTGCCCCGGTGCTGGGTACTCTGAACCTCCATCCAGCGGCCAACAGACCATACAGAACCTTCACCCCTTTCCTCCTCCTCCTCACCCCCAGAAACTGGAATTAATTATTGCGCGGCTATTTTACTGGTTTTTCCCTCTTTTGGGAACAATAGCTAACCTTTAAAAGCAAACTCTTGTGTGTGCTGGTAAACAGCAATCACGGTGGCCGCTGGTGTCAATACTGAGAAAGAGGAAGTTGGAAGATTCTTAAATATACTTAAATATTCTTGCTCCGTTTAGAAGGGGAGGGGGAGCTTACGCAATCACTTCCATCTTCTGGGGAGGAAAAGGCTGAATTTGGTACTTCCCTTGTCAGAACTTCTCATCTTGGCATACTCTACTAAAAACATTAAGCCGCCGCCTTGTGACTTGGTCCAGGGGGGCTCTGCAAACGGCAGGGGTAGCGACCTGGGCCCCTGGGCAGCTGGGGCTGACTTCAGCCCGATGGCTGGAGCAGCCGCGCTGGGGGCTGGCAGGTGAGAAGCGGAACCGTGCGGTCTTCAAGGAGCAACGGAGAGCGTAACCTTGTACGTTTTCTGGCTCGGCAGAGAGCTGATTAATAGCGCGAACTCTTGCTGTGCAGCTGTGTCAGCTGGGGTGAGAACAAGTGGCGTTTCTGTGGAAAGGAAAATAGCTTCACCGGTGACACTGCTTGAAGACGCTAGTCTCGTGTTTAGGTCCTAAACTGGTTTCTGTTACTCGCTCGCTAGGCTTCAGACGTACGAGCGCTAGCTGGCTGTAGTTTGCTCCTGTTAGCAATGCAGAAATAGCTGTTCCCAGGGCTGTCTTTCCCCCAGCGACACGAATCTGCCGGCGTTGAGGCTGATGTAACGTGCACGATCAGCGCCTTTTCGCTGGTTACCTCGACGTAAGGTGGGCCCTTTCCATGCGGAGGCGCAGCGGCTTTGATGTGGCTACGTTCAGCTCGAGCTGAACCAAACCCCGATTCGACGGGTTCCGTGAGCTGTGGGTATAGCAAAGCGGAGGGTGCTATGGGGAGTAATTTTATTTTGTTTTTTTCAAAGCCCCTATGTTTAAACGGCGGCTCAGGAAGCACGCGTTTTTCAGTTCTTCGACATAACGGGGAACCAAAGAACAGACAGACGCTAGCAGCGGGAAACTTCTCCTGACTAAACAGAACGTACCTTCCCCGAGCAGTAAACCGCGCACTGGCAAAGCACGATTTCCACAACAATACATGTGCCTTGCTGTTCTAGTGGGAGGGCCTTCAACTTCATGTCTCTTTTTATTTTCATGACAACGGAAAACGCTTCATCTACCGGCCCCCAGCTTGGTGGCGGTTCTGGAAGGCTGTTTTTGTGTTATATTCACCCGTGTAAATTTTGAAGCTACCGCTGAGATACAAGGATATAATTTCAAAGTATCATTATAGCAATTTCACAGGATTCTCTTCCCTCCCTCTGTACAACTTGCGCGGCTCTCACTTTATAACGCTATGAGGTAGCGGTGAAATGAGTTATGTGGGGAAAACAGGTTGTGTACGGAGAAACGCTGCAGTAACGGAACCTCTGCACAGTCAGTGCAGAGCTTTATAGCGCAGGAAAGGCTGGGTAGACAGACAGACAGGAAGGAAGGAAGGAAGGAAGGAAGGAAGGAGTGAGTGCTGCACTCGAGGCTTTGACAAGTTTTGAAGCTCGAGGAACCCAGGTGTTGCTCCACACCGAGTCTTCAGAGCGCTGAACAAACAGCTCGGTCACTATATCAAAGAAGTCTGTAATTAGAATTTGCCCCGGTAGGTTTCGAAGAAGTAGCCTGTCGAATACGTGGTCCCAAGACTAGCAAAAGCCCTGTTTTATTTTATTGTTTGCTTTTGCTTAATCGAAGGCGGGCTCAGATTTATTCCTACAAAGTCAGGTATAAATGTTTCGGGCATTTAGAAGAGGTAGTTGGTTTCTGCATCATCGAATTTGAGACCTACGTGAAGGGCAGGCTTCGGGAAGATGGTGAATTCAACATTAGAAGAACGGAAAAGCATTCCGTTAATAGCCTGGCTTTCTGCTCCTGAGGCAGGTGGAGGATTCTATTCTCTTTAGGTGGCTTTTGCTTTATTGCGGATTGTAGAAGTCAGGGAACAAAGGGAAATAAATACTCGTGGGATTCGTCTGATGAGGAATTACTGAAGCGGTCGGATGAAGCTAATCCTGCTGACATTCCGTGCAGGAGGCAGCAAACCGATGGTCCTCCGGTACTTAGAAGTTAGTTAGGTATGTGGCACGTGATGGTGAAGAGTAAGAGCAGTCCCCCTTTCACGGTAGCCCCTTTCACGGTAGCGAGCAGCCTGACCCTGTTCTGTATTATCTTTCCACTGAGGCTGTTGCTCGCTGTGAATCGTCCCTTCAGCTTTGCGCTAGCCCCTTACCAAAACACGTCTGCGGCTTCCTCAGGGAAGCGTGCGAAAAGACAACCGTCGGGCAGCTAACCCGTACTTCCCCGCGCAGCCCCTTGTAGCTGGGAGGGGCGGGGGTAGTTAAGCATTAAAAGCCGTGGTGTCGAATAGTTTAAGAGTTTATTTTATGCTTTACAAAGCCCTTTTTGCCCATTAGGAATCGGTATGATCTGTGGATCCTTTCCCATCCAGGTCAGCAGTTTGCATCTTGCCTAGCTCCTTAGATTCGGTTACTAGCTGGTGGTAGCTCATTGGCCCACGCAAAGTAGACCTGTAGGACAATTCCAGTCACATCCTCCTCCTCCTCCTCGAAGTACACGGCGGTACCTTAGCCAAAAGACACTGAGAACAAGGGACGTGCTGCTTTCAAACCCCTTCAATTAGATTCGGAGCCAGAGGGGAACCTGTAATCATCTAACAACAACCACCACCACCACCACCAACAACCTGACTCTGCCAAAATCGGTGGCTGGTCTTGGAAACGTAAGCCCCCGTTTTTGCACAACTAACTGGTCGGGAGCGCCTCCAAGCTCAATAATCTCCACGCTCTTTTATGTTTTCATACAAAAAATTTAATAAATATTACTTTTCAAGATTTATTGCCAGGAACAACACATCAAAGATGCATTTTCATGTAACACTAATATCACAATACAAGGTATCTTCATCATCTCAGTGGTTAACCACCGAGATTGCTATGTTCATAAGCCTTTTGATCTTAAACGTCGTAATAGCACTTTGATTTCCTCACTTGTTAAGGCGGGCAGTGTAATCTATGGCAAACCTACACAGTGATCTTACTGGACATTCTACCGTTCAAGTATTCAACAACTAGCTTATTAGAATACTCCCTAAATGCAGTAGATTACAAAAAAAGTCAAATCTACAAGTGGTTCAGTATTACATATTCATGGTGAGAAAAAAAAAATAATCAGAATTTACAAAAGAAGATTGCTGTGTTTTCCAACTTCACACGCTAATTTGATATTTTAATTACATGCAACCACTCACAGGTCATCTACATAAAGTAATAGCTCAGGTTTGTTCCCTTAAACCGCTTCTTAGCAGATTCTCTGCCTGTCACTCGTTGTTTTTCAAGTCTAAAGCAGCAAAAAAAAAAATTTCTAGTCTAATTATCTAAACTGCCTCAGTCAGTACTTACAAATAGTCTTAAAGTGATGCTATGGAAGGTGTTTCAAACGTTTGACATTGTACAGAAGCCAGCATCAAGGCATGAAAGCCCGTCCTATTGAAAATAAACTATTTCAGAACACCTTAGTTTTGGCATATAGGCAACATGTAACAAGGAAATAAATTCGAAATAGAGAAGCCACGAGCTTACGATGCTATCAAAAACCTTCAACTCTAAACACGTACATATAAATAAAAAGGAATGATATTTTAAGGCTCTTGATTATTAAGTTAATAAATCAAATATACACAGTGATTAATAAAAAAGAATTATTTACATATCTATACAAACTTCTATTTTTGACACATTTTCCTCTTTAAATTCTTCATTTACCAGCAACCGCTGACAAGTTCCCCCCGCCCGCCCCCAACAAAAAATACAATAAAAAAATAAATAATAAACTTATTTGTGATAGTTGCTGTGGTTCCGAGCTGCAAAGGCACTTTCAAATACAGAACTAGTTGTACGTCACCATAAAACCAATATACAAAAAACTCAAATTCAATAAATATAAATAAAAACGCGTTAGTCTAAAGAAACTGTAGAGATCGGGACATCTGGCAGGAGAAAAAAAAAAAAAAAAGAAGAATTCCCAATAAGGAAGGGGGCGGAGGAGCGGCACCG